GAGCAGTAGTACTCCCTCAAGATCTCATGGACTAGTAAGGTAGATTAAATAAACCAATCTAAGTGCCATAAAAGAGCTTCCCAAAAAGTGAGTGGTGGCAAACTGGTGTGCTTCCAATGGGCTTCAGGAGTGACAGGATGTCAATTATGTCAATTCCCTCATCCATCAGGGTGGCATTGTGAGTCCTGGGGCTGTATTTCCTGCAGTTAAGAAGCTTCTTCTATTGACCCTATTTACTATACAAATAACATGTTTTGCTTATCAAAGGCACCTTGATGAATAAAAATGAAGACACACAAAATACTCAGAGATGCAACTAAAGCAGTGCTTAGCATGATAAGCTGTAATTGCTTATATTAAAAAAGAAGAAGGATCTCAAATCAAAAGCCTAACTTTTCACCTTAACACACTATAAAAAGAAAAGCAAACTAAACTTAAAGGAAGAGAAGGAAGTAAATAATGTGGAGTGGTAATTAATGAAACAGAGAATGGAAAAATAAGAGAAAGCATCCAAGAAACCAAAAGCTGCTGTTGTTGTTTTACATATTTTTAAAAAATAGATAGACTTTTAGCTAGTCTAAGAAACAGCTTAGCTAGCTAACGCTTAGCATGTGGAATAAGGAAAAAGAGAGGATAGTCAAATTACCAGAATCAGAAATGAAAGAGAGGACATTATTATCTACCTTTTAGAAATAAAAAAAGGCTGTAAATACTATAAACAATTGTGTGACTATAAATTAGATAATGTGGATAAATGGAAAATATCCCAGAAGAACACAAAATACTGATACTGACCCAAGAAGAAATGCAATGTGAATATATCTATAACAAGTGAAGAGATCAAATTAATAACCAGAAAATTACTCCCAAAGAAAAGCTCAGCCCCAAATGGCTTCAATGGTGAATTGTACCATATAGTTAAAGAAAAATTAACACAAATTCTTCATACTCTCCCCAAAAATACAAGAGGAAGGACCACTTGCAAACTCATTCTACAGGGCTATTACACTAATATCAAAATCAGACAGAGGCATCACAAGAGGATATTACAAGGACAATCTCTCCTACAAATACAGAGGCAAAAGTCTTTAACGAAGTACTATAAAACCAAATCCAGTAACAAATAAAAAGAATTCTATATTATGACCAAGTGCAATTTTGCAAGGAATACAAGGTTTGTTAACACTTAAAAATCAAAGTGATATACCATATCTACAGAATAAAAAAAAAACTACATAATCATCTGAATGGATGTAGAAAAGCATTTGACAAAATCCAACACCTTTTAATTATAAAAACATTCAACACACTAGGAACAGAAAGGAACTTCCTCAAACTGATAAAAGCTTCTATGAAAACCCCACAGCTAAAATCAATCTTAGTTGTAAAAGATTATATGCTTTCCCTATGATCAGGAACAACATAAAGATGTTTTTTCCTGCCACGTCTATTCAACATTGCACTGGAGGGAAATTAGTCAAAAAAGTTTAATTATGGGCATCTAGATTGGACATGAAGAAGTAAAACTATCACTATTTGCAGATGGCATGTTCTTGCATATAGAAAACCCTACAAAATCCACTAAAAATGTTAGACTTAATAACCAGGGTCAGCAAGGTTGAAACATAAGATCAACATACAAAAACCAATTATATTTGATTGTATAAATGTAATAAATGATCCAAAAATGAAATTAAGAAAAATAATTCCATTTACAATAACATCACAAATTATAAAATACTAGGAATACATGTAACAAAAGATGTACAAAACTTATATTTTGAAAGCTACAAGACAATGTTTAAACAAAAGATCTAAACAGATGGAAAGATATCCCATGTTCATGAATCAGAAGACTTAATATTAAGATGTCAGTATTCTCCAAATCGACCTACAGACTCAACATAGTCCCTATCAGAATCTCAGCTAGTGATCTTTGCAGAATCTTTGCAGAAATTGATAAACTGATCCTAAAATTCATATGGAGATTCAGAATAGCCAAAACAATCTTGGGAAAAAAACACACATAGGACTTGTACTCTTCATTTCAAAATTTATTACAAAGCAAAAGTAATCAAGACAGTGTGGTATTGGCATAAAGACAGACACATATTAATAGAATGATGAAACAGAACTGAAGAGTCCAGAAATAAATTCCCATATCTATAACAAATTGATTTTCAAAAAGAGTGCAAAAAGCATTTAATGTGGAAAGAATAGTTTCTTCAACAAATAGTGCTTGGACAACTAGATAGTCATATGCAGGACATGAAGGGAGTTGGACCTTTACATTCCACCACATAAAAAATCAACTTAAAATGGATAAGTGATCTAAATATAAAACTATGAAAGTCTTAGGGATATAAAAACATAGGGATAAATCTTTTTTATCTTTTTTCAATTTGACAAGGATTCTTAGATATGACACCAAAAGCACAAGCAACAAGGAAAAACTAAACTGTGAGAGATATCACAAGAATGGAAGAATAAGCAACACATATACTCGCCATCAAATTGGCACTAACTGATCAACACTAAGGTGCTCACATGGTAGTAATATTCATTGGGGGATGGGAGGGTGGGAGTGAGCAAACACACAAATAATGGAGGCGGTGAGCATTGTATGGGCGAAGGACATGCCTCTAATCCTGCCTTGGGTGAGGCAAAGTTATAGCATAACCAAAATGTTTGTACCCCCATAATACCCTGAAAAAACCCCTGAAAAAAAACTATACAAATGAAAAAAAAAAAAAGAAAGAAAAAATGAATTGGACTTCATCAAAATTTTGTGTTTCAAAAGATAAACCAAGAAAGTGAAAAATCCACAGAATGAGAGAAAGTACTTGCAAATCATATACATAAGGATCTAGAATCCAAAACACATAAACTTTTACACTTTAACAACCACAAAACAACTCAATTAAAAAATGGGCAAAGGACTTGAATAGACATTTCTCTCAAGAAGACATACAAATGCAAATCAATACCACCATTAGATACCACTTCATATCTACTAAGACTATAAAACATACATACATGCACACAACGAAAAATAACAAGGCTTGGTGAAAATGTGGAGAAACTGGAATGCTCATACATTGCTGGTATGAATGTAAATGGTGCAACAGCAGCACAAAGTAGTTTGAAGGTTCTTCAAAAAGCGAAACATATAATTACTATATGTTCCAGCAATTCCACTCCCAGGTATATACACCAAATAATTAAAAACCAGGACTCAGATACTTATACACCAATGTTCATTGTAGCACTTTTCCACAATAGCCAAAATGTAGACACAATCCAAATTTCTATTAACCCCGGTGAAGGGATAAACTGTGTGTGTGTGTGTGTGTGTGTGTGTGTGTGTGTGTATGTGTATATACAGTATATACATATAATGGAATATTATTCAGTTATATAAATAAAGTCCTGATACATGCTACAAGATGGATGAACCTTGAAAACATGCTAAGTGAAAGAGGCCAGTCATAGAAGAGCACATATTACAGTTACACACTGCATGACAATACTTTGGTCAAGAACAGACTACATATACATCAGTAGTCCCATAAACTTATAATGGAACATATATAAAAACCTGATATATAGCATTTGATATTGACATTGCAGATCAAGTAGGGGAAATGACTGATACTCAGTAATGGAACATTTAGTTTTCCATATGAAAAAAATATATATAACTAAAAATAAATACACCATCTAGGTTTGTATAAGTACACTCCATGATGTTTGACAAAATCACCTAACTCATTTCTCAAATTGTCTTCCTGTTGTTAAGCAATATGTAACTGTATATAATTCTAATTATATGAAAACATGAAACATTCAGAAGAGACAAGTCTATAGAGACAGAAAGCAAATTAGTGGCTCCTTAGGGCTGGAGTGATTTGGGGTTGATAGCGAAAGGGTACAGAGTTTCTTTTTGAAGTCGTACGTTGTAAAATTGATGGGGGTGATAGTTGCACAATTCTGTGAATATACTAATACATTACCCTCAAATATTTACAGTGACTCAGTCACAAAAATAAGTTCAATCAACGGAATTAATAAATTCTAACTGAGTACTTCCTAGGTACTGGGATGTAAGACTATAGGATAAGATTTTTTACCTTTTTCTCAAGAGGAGACATAATACAAAATAAACAGGTGAGAAACACATCAATCCAGAAATTAAAAAGTTATGAGCCAGAAAAATATGTTTTCCATTGGGTCATCTAAAGGGAAGTATTATTCTCAGGAACTGATGTTTAAATTGAGATTCTCTCAATGCCACAAAACCAGGTATACAAATATAAGGAAGATGACTGCAGGCAGAGAGGAAAGCAAGTTCAACAATGAGAATAGCTTGATATGTATTGGGGGACCAGTTGAAGACCAGGATGGATGAATAGTTGTAGACCAGGGGAAGAGAGGGAGAAGGTGAGGTTCCAGAAGTAATAAGAAATTGGTCAGGTAATGAGAAATTAGTCAGAGGCAGACCTGTAGGGCTTTGTCAGTCAGGCTGAGAAGGTCTGACTTGCTTTTTCTCAACCCCATAATATACTGTGCTATACTGTTCTAAAGAAAATTAGTTTCTTGTTCATCTTTTATCTTCAGTGCCTAACCACTGCTTAGCCAGGATCTCAACAGAGGTTTTCTAGTTCTAAATTCTAATAATTTAAATAGAATCACGTGTTATCTTGTAAATAATACATGATGATAAAACGTGCTTTCCTTATAAATGACTCACAAACATTCTGTCGCCTAATGATTAGCTTCACGTTTGCATGTTGGGTTTTCTGTTCGTACTACACAGGTATTCTGCCACAGTTCTAATTATAACATCATTATCCAGAAAGGTGCACACTTGTTCTAACACAACTGATACAAAGCTAGAGAGATAGCAGTTTCAGAGTGTAATACCATACAAAACCAAAAATAAATAAAGCATGTTTCTTTGGGAGAATAAAAAAAATGTTTTGTTTTTTCAGTTGGCTTACTGTGGCCTTGAGGCTTCAGCCTGGTCTGTTTGCAGTTTTTCTCCTCCTTCTACTTCCATTGTACAGTAAACAATTCGATTGGGGGCGACTGACTTCAAACCTTGAACTTCCATTATGACAATCTAAAGATAAAATGATTTTAAAATAATAAGTCAAGTTGATAGCATTTAGCAATAAACAGAAATAGAGGCATGAGCTGTAATGAGGAAGACTAATAAAAAAATTGGAAAAAAATGGTTTTGTTATCTGTTAACATCACTGGCATTTTATCTTTTTATAATGCACCTCTAGTCATAGAAGGCATGGTAAATAACATTTGAAGAAGTCTGGTATCTGAAAAAATATCTCCTGCCAGCTATTAAATAAAAGTAAGGTTAAAGGCATAAATAAAAGCCCTAGTAAATTAAATGAAATTTAAACTCAGATCCTTAACAAATTAAGACAAGTCTGCATAAAGTAAAGCAGAATCATAAATGAAAATTCAGTGAAGATGGTAATAATTTCTGTATAAAGTAATACAACATTTGTTACTGGTAGACATTGTCACCATGATACAAATTCATTGATATCAATATGTGATATCTGAAATTTTCTATGTTCACTTATTTTAGATGATGATTGCTATTTATAGAAGAATTTTCTTTATGGTCACTGTATGTCTTATTATCAAAATAATATGGGAACTATAATTTGCCACTGAATATATTAACTTGATAAGAAAAGAAAATTTTAACCATCATAACTATGTACTAATATAATGTATACACTGCAAAAGGGTTAAAAAAAAAAACAACCTGATATTGCTTTATGTATCTATAATTCCTGGCAGAAAGGAAAATAAATATTCTTTTTCAAGTGCCCTTTTATGTTTGTCAAAAAGGCTGTCAATCTTAAAATACTGTAACTTAACATTCTCATTGGATGTATACATAAAATATGAAAGTTATTTACCATAGTTTTTTTTAACCAAAACTTATATCAACTTCTAAATTCACATTTAATTTATAAAATAGATTCAAATGCATTTATATATATATATATAATTTCTTCATTGATCTCACTTTGTATTTGTATAAACAAGAATGTCATTCATGCTTTGTAGCTACCAAAATATCTACCATAAACATCATTGATATCATTTATTGATTATTTAATACCTTATTAAAGTCATATTTTTCACAGAATTGTGGTATGAATCTCGATCCAAAAGGTCTCAAAGAAACAAACCATTCTAAAAGAGCTATTATTCCTTTCAGCTCTGTTAGAAGAGAATGGTTATATTTGTAAATAAAACCATGTGTTTGGTTTCTGTTTTATTTTGTCTATTTTCACAAAAAAATATGGCAAACTGATCAGTTATTTAGTGATAAAAGGTCAAACTCAAAGCAACTTTCTTTCCTCAACAAGGGCTTTTGTCATTTTGTTACACTAAAATGCATACCAACATATGAATAAAAATAAGGTCTTAAGCATATCAATTAATTGAAAGCTAACTACATTTGGACTTACCACCATGATTCTAATAACTTAGTTCAATAATAGAAATTTTTGATGGTCACTTAGAAGTTATGAAACAACAGAAGTTTGTACCACAAGTTTAGAAATCTTAACAGCATTGGTTCATATTCCAGAATATTATTGCTTACATCACATCTCTTTCTGCAGTGTGTTTAAATATCCTGAGTGCAAAAGAAAAGAAAGGAAGCATCTGCTTGACATCATTTTTGTCACCTCTACTACAAGCTACTTCAAACAGGACCTCCTAAAACTTACAACTTGTGAAACAGCATTCTGCTTTCCAAAACAAGATTCCCAACCATGTCAGGAATATTTTATCCTGCAGAATTGCCACTTTGAAAAGATATAACTTCTGTGATGAATGTGTACACAAAAATAAAACAACAACCCAATTCTACAGATCTAATTTCCAAAGGGAAAATAAAACATAGCTAGTCTCAAACATTAGTAATAAAGACAGCCAAGAATTCCATGGACCATAAAATAACCTAATTTTAAGTAAGTGTTTCAATTCCCAGCAAAACTTGATAATAGACCTACAGAAACTAAAATTGACCTATGTTTCATATTCTCTTTCCCTTGCATTTCTGTGGCTGATGTCACAAGGATAAAATAGATGAAGTTGTCCTAGAAGCATAAAAAAAAAGGAAGCATGCACAAAATATGGAACTAGATAGCATGCTTTTGACTAATACATTGACCATAGAGTTATGTGACACTTAAGCATGTGTAGCTTGTAAGAAAATGAAGCTACACAGTACGGTGAAATCAGGACTCATACATCACAAATACAGGCAAAGTCATGAAGTCTACCAGCCTAATATTAGTGAAAAAACCCAGTGTTGAAAGTCAACTGTATTCATGCCCCTGACACCATTATCCCATACAACATAGACTTTTCACTTCATAGCTTAACATTTGTTTTTCTAGTTTTACTTGAAAATGAATTTTAACACATCATTCAATGGCTTAGTGTTTTGTGGGTTAATGTATCTCTTGCTTTAATATTCTTTTTGAAGCCTTCATAAATAATGACACCTAAAAGTAATCCAATATGGCTAACTGTTGCTTTTTGATATCATACAATCCCTTAATTCAACAAATATTTACTGAATTAACTGTGTGCCAGGCACTGTTTAAGCACTTTTGACGCCTCAGTAAAATAGAAAAGAGAAAAAAATGTAACCCTCCTGCAGCTCACATAGAGAAAGCCAGGTAACTAATAATAAACATAATAAACAATTGGATTATATGTTGGGTAATAAGTGCTGCGGCAAAAATTGAGCTTGGTAAGGTAATAGGATGTGGTGGGAGAAGGAAGGAGTATGTATAATTCTAAAGAGAAGGTGAAATTTGAGCAGAGTTTTTCATATCTGTACTTTATTCATTAGACTCAGTATGCAGTTCCTAGAAAAGATTCCTCCAATGGAGCAATTCTAAGCCTGACTAATGAAATATGAGAGCTTTAAATTGGATTAACTGCTTGCTTTTCAGAGTTTTCGTAGGCTGAAATCTGGAGTCTGAGGGGAAAGGCTTGTTTAATGGGCTAGGGATAATTATTCAGCATAGCATGGCTGATGTCACAGGCCTTGTGGCTAGGAAGTACCTCATCTATTTTCTCAAGTGTCCTATAAACGCACACTGGACAGTCATCACTTCACATGATTTCATTTTTTTGCTGCACACTGTAGGCACCTGAGAACAGATTTGTATTATGCTTTGGTAGGAAAATATCTGCCTTAAATGGCCATAACAACAGAGGATGTCAAAACAATTTTTATAAATATGCAAGCTTCTCTGACCATGCAAAACGAAGTTTTAGCATATAGTTTCCTCCTAGCATTATATGCCAACTCAACAGCACTCTTTAACTCACTGGCAATAAAGCACAGAATAACAATTCATAGATTCACTTAAACACTGACTTGTTGCCTAACTTTGTTCTCAAAAAACAAAATAGAATTCATAAAAAGTTATTAACAAGATTCCTGAACAACAGAAAGAGAAATTGTTCTGAACTGTTTTCACTTCTGCATGTTTAAGTATAAAGATAATGGCAGATTTGCACATGATAAAAATTATTTGCTCTACAAATTATTTTTTCCATCAATGAATTTAAATGCCAAACTCTTGTTAGAAAACGTAACTAAATGTTTGATTTTCCTTTGCACAAAGCCTTAAAAAAAGACTTGGCACTTTCTATTACAATCAAAATGTAATCTGAGGCAGGAATGGTGAGAACATTCCACATGTAATACACTATGTAGTTTTCAAATTAAACATCCTTATGAGGCAGAAGAGATTGAGAAGAAACCCACTAGCAAAACCAACTGGCAAAGTCATCAGATAAACCCAGCTTGAGTCAAAAGAAAGCCACATATTTCTACTGTGACACTAAGTTTCATCTATTAACCTACAAAGAAATCATTAGCCTGAAGATAAGAAAGTGAGAAGCAGTTGTTTTATCCTCAAGCTTGAATTTATCTTAGAGTTGAATAAATGGAGGGAAAAAAATCAGAAGTAGACATTTTCTTTTTCTGCCATAAACTAAGCAAGTCACGTATAAACACAGAAACATAGAACTGTTCCTAGTAAGAATGTATATGCTTCTCTTTGTCAATTAGAAAATATGAACAGCAGCACTGGGAACCACCAAAGAGAAAATATAACCACATAAGGAAGGAGCTAAAAGCTTTAATATAATTTTTCAGAGACCTATAAATTAAAGTTTCACATTGTTAGTATTTACTTACAGAACAAAATTTATTGGTGTGGGGGAGCTGCCGTTTAAGCCAAATGATGATGTGACACAAATTATTATAATATAATCTTTTATCTTGTATTTCACATATGCTCTTTCTTCCAAGGAACTAACGATGCTTGTACGTATGTGTTGTGGTGCATAAACCCCTAGATATATACCTAGATTAGGCCATATACATAGATTAGCCATGAAGAAATAGCAAGAAAAACATCAACAGGTAGCTGTACTAAGAGTATCAGTCTTTGGTTTCCAGTGATTTGAATAAAAGAGATGAAACTCTGAAGTTTTGGGGAACACAATTATAAAAGCATGACATATGTTCTTGTTCTTTCTAATATTTATTGTGCCTATAATGAAATGAAGTCTTGGAGAGAAGGAATTCTCAACTTCTCATCATCTACAGTGCCTGGTAATGTGCATTACAACTGATGTGATTCTAGAAAGATGATCCCATAGGTGAAGTAGATTAAAAACAAGGTTAACCAAAAGCCTGAAAGGAGTTTACAAATTAGACAATTCAATTAAATGTTTAAATCCTATTGCCACCCAAGTGTGTTTTTTATTTTATTTTTTTTTATTTTCAGAATGTTATGGGAGTTTTGATGCTTATTTTAGCAATGAACTTCTGGCATAAAGAAGACTTGCCTTAATGCTTTTATTATTTAATCTTAATGTTGCTGTTATCTTAAAAAAATTTGCATTTGTTTGCATATACAACCTGAGTATCCCACAAATGAGGAATAATTTAACATTTCTAAAATATATTACAATTTTAAATTCTAAACTTTACCACAAAGGTCAGCAGAAATTATTGTGCAGCCTCATCTATGCTGTCAGAGGCAAGCACAGGATAAAGCCACTTACCTCTAAGGTGAATGACAGAACCACGTCGGACTTTGACAGCTGAATCTCATTCTCATCTCCTATGTCCAAAAATGCAGAATTCTGTGAACGTTTTAATTTTTGTAATTTAAATTCCGGACCACCCTTTGAAACTGGAAGACTTTCCAAATTGGCCATTAGCAAATTCACTGAAGACCGCAACTCTTCTATATACATATTCTCCATTTCTTTTGCTATAAATTGTGGGAATTTTCTTTCCTTGAAAATAATTTTTAAAATAACAATGTTACATAAGTCATATTACAATTTTATCATAAAAGATACATTTCACTGTCTTAGAAACTGGCACTTCCAATATAATATATCTAGCCTACTTAAGTTTCTAGGCTTTAAAATCCTCAAGCTTTGGCAATTTCTATTATATCTAGTTACCTCATAAATCTTATCAAGGATCATTGTGTACAAAATGAAAAATATTATATTTTCACATTAACTTTATTTTTTATAAGATTTGCTTAAGAGAAAACAAACTTTGAAAACATGCAGATGAGATGTTTTAGTGTATAGATGAATCTTAATTAGGTGCTGTTAGCTTTGAAATGCTTGGGGTAACTGGTCTAAAATAAAATGTTAGGACAGCATGGTGGCTGGCTCATGCCTATAATCCTAGTACTCAGGGAGGTCAAGATGGGAAGATCACTTCAGGTCAGGAGCTTGAGATGACCTAAGCAAGAGGGAGACCCCCATCTCTACTAAAAATATTAATAGAAAAAATTATCAGGGCATGGTGGTGAGTGCCTGTAGTCCCAGCTGCTCTACTTGGGAGGCTGCGGCAGGAGGGATCATTTGAGCCCAGGAGTTAGAGGTTGCAATAAACTATGATGATGCCACTGTCCTCTAGCCAGGGTGACAGAGCAAGACTGTCTCAAAAAGAAAAAGAAAAGTTCAAGATACACTTCTTTGCCAGTTAGGAACAAATATTTTAATAATTATCTCTCTTTCTTACCACAGATGTGTACTGTATGCTTTTTATAAATAAACATTCAAATTTAAAAACCCATATTATTGAAAAGTAATATGGTCATATTTCTAAAATTAGTGATTTTCCACATCACACAAATATGCCAAGATCTCTTATGACCATAAATTCAGTTTTTTTATTAAGGGTTTAGAAAAGAATTAAGTTTAAAGCAAAAGGTAAATTTATGATAAAAGCTGATAAGTGAAAAAGTAACAATATCAATTTGGAAGATTCTACTTTCTTGTTGAATTACATGAGCATTGCCATCCAATTCTTTTATCTCTGCAATCAGATTTCTGTTTCTTTCATTCAATTAAAAGGACATTCCAAATATTGATATTTAGAAAGTGCTAAATTCTTTTTAGAGAAGATTATATCAATTTATATTCCTAAAAACAGCAAATGAAAGCACTCTGGTATCTCAGACTTTTGGCTCTTTCTTTAATCTTTGCCAACCTGGCATAAAGATCTTCTTTCTTTGAAGTAGACGGTAGATTGGCTTTACAACATCAAGCCCAGTGTAACATGACCACCACACAAAATCGGCTGGAGGGTGAAAGGCTAAAGCAGCCATCTTTCAAATGATTGACAGAGGCTTCAAAAATCACTGAATATACTTTTGTTTTTCTTGGCATCCTTCAAAACCTAACCTAAGAATATGAATCTCTAGTACAACTGGAATGTGTCCAGAGTGCTCTTGTCAACCTGCACCTAGTCTCTGACCCACTTGCAGCAGCAGTTCCTTCATGGGATGGGAAGGAACATCTGGTACCACTTCACAAATCAGTCCCCATGTCTCAGGCCACCTGTCTTTCTTTTTCCCTGAGATAACCTTCACATATTTCTTTTAAAAGTAATTTGCATACAATCAACATTAAAATTGCATATTATCACAGAAAGATTAAATATCTGCATTAAAAATTAATTTTCACAAGAAGATTCTTAAGTATCCTTTTAGCACTTCTCTGCAGTTTGAAGCCACATTCTAAAATAATAAGTTTGCATTCTCAGGAAAAACATATAACTACTCAGGTATAGATTACCTTGGTTTCCTTTGGGGAAAAATTATTTTAGAATGATTTTTCAATACAAGCAGGGGAAGCAAAATGAACCATACAAAACATAGTTTTATATTTTTGGACTAACTTTTAAAAGCTGTCAGAAAAAGCATTCACAACTCAGAAAGAAGACAAAAAGATGAGGGGGCAGGTCCTTTCAATGTCATATGGAGGCAAAGGCCACCCAATGGACAGCTGGGGAAATGTACCTAGATCAACTTTCTTTTCACTACTGTTTAAAAGTTCTAGACAATGAAGTTGCACGTTACCTTGCGGAATTTTGTCTGAAAAAGATGCAAATGTTCATCTGAAGACCCACTGGTTACTGTTTAAATTTGTTTTGAGAAACTAACTACTTTTATATGGCATCCATGGAATCTTAGCAATGCCTCAAAATACCTAGTTTCTCAAATGCTCTTTGGACTGGTTTTAACATCAACTGGTTTGCTTACTAATTAGTCATTGAATAAAATATTTGTGTTCATTTCATATTTGTATGAAAGTAATAATTTTGCCTTTTTAAAACTAAATTTTAACAAAGCAAAAGGAAAATATTTGAAAGTTCAGATGCGCCAATTTTTGTCATTAAATTTTCAACATGTTATTGAATGGAAAATCTAGCATTAGCATATCTAAAAAAAACTATTTATATTTAACTCTCACTAAAAACATGTCATTCTCTCTTATCTATCAAAGAGGAGATAGGCAGACATCACCAAAACTGATTATTTTATCAGTATTTTCAAATTTTTTAGAAAATAGAATATACTAGAATTTTTTTCTCTGAAAAAAACTCATAATTCTATTTTAAAGCTTTGAGGTTCATTGATAGTATTTCATCAACTTTATTTAGCCTGCTTGTTTTGTCTCTCACTTGGAAACAAAATGAACTGTACATCAGACAAGTAAACATGTTAAATGTGTTCTTTTAAATTAGAATTGAATCAGACATAGGGTTATTTTGTAGTTAACTGTGAGTCATTCCTATAAACCATGATTTACCATGGATTAAATCAGCAGTCCCCAACCCTTTTGGCACCAGGGACCAGTTTCATGGAAGACAATTTTTTCACCAGGGGTTGTAGGGTGGCAGTGAGGCACAATCCAGTTCCCAACAGGCCATAGACCAGCATAAAAGCAGGTGAGAGAGTATGATGATTGACTGTGTTTATCAATTTGGCTAGACTATGGTACTTAGTTGTTGAGTCAAATAACAATATAAATACTGCTATTAGTAGGTGTTCAATAAATATTTGTTCAATGAATTTATGGATAGGAAAAAAATGAGGTTCAAACAATGTTAAATAACATGACTACTATTATAATTCTAGGAAACAGAAATCATGGCTTTGATCACAGGTCTTTCTGGCCCCACTCACATTTTTCCCTCTATTGCATAATTATCCTTTGGATAAAATTTAGTATTTAGGCAAAAATTTCTATCTCTTAAAACAGACATTTCTGCCCTATGGTTTTACTGTTATTTGTATTGTGTTATTTTGTGAAGTGTAGAAGAGGGTTGTACTGGCTGACAATTAATACCTATTAATAAACCACACTCTCAGATTTAGACTGCAGAGGCAGCAGGAGTAAAAGAGGCAGCCCAGGCTCTGGAGGCAAGGCTGGGATTTGAGGCTGCCTCAGCTACTCATTTGTTACGTAATCTTGGTTAAGTAAGTAATCTTCCCTAAGCCTCAATCTCCTCTTCTATAAAATTGAATTCATGATATCATCTGTCCTTGTAGGTTCACAGGATTATTGTAGGGATATAAGGCAATAAGGTCAACAAATTGTCATTAGCCTTTTAAATATTTCATTAAGATGGCTTCCACTGGGTGACAATGAAGTGGAAAGCAATGAAACCTGCTCAATTTGCTATGTAAATATTTTCACCAAAAGGTATCCTATTTTGGGAGGTATATTTTTCCTTCCAACCCCATCAGATTCATTTCTTTCTCCATAGTTTTTACACTTTATAAACATCTCTGAAGAAAGCACTGGGGTCCCCTCGAGGAGAAGCCTTGACCCCTTCTTCTGATCCAGCCCAGGGGTTAACAACATGCATTCTCCTTCTTAAACATGAACTTAGGAACACATCTGAGGCTTTCCTTCTTGTCTCGTAACTCTTCAGAAAACCAATTAAACTTTATTCTAAGGCATTACATATTCAGCCAGGCCTTTGGAGGAGCAAGTCCAATGCATGACAAGGTGCTCCATCTCACAACAATCTATATATAAGCATGCAACTTACAAATGCTGAGCACAGGTCCAGTGTCCTGCCACATGCTGTCACGCACATCTCCCTGGATTCTCTCTTAGCCTCAGGTGTAAGAAAAGCAAATGCCCTTCCAGCCAGGTAAAATACCAGGCTAGGATTTTGAGGAAAACATTTTCCCCTCTAAAGCTTATAATAGCATCAAACTGTTTGATTTCTATTCTATGAAGTCCACATTCAAACTCTAGAATGATCCAGCATCTATCTGGATATCCACAGGACAACAATAGGCATGCTGTCCTTTCGACTTCTGTCTCGTATTCATAGCAGGCTACTGCGTGATTCATCTAGAGATTCCTCCTCATATATCCCTGCCTTGGTTTTCACGATTTACTGTCATTCTTTTTCCCTAATTTCTCTCAATTTTTTTTTCTATTTCATTATTTATCTCTAATTCCTCAGTTTTTTCTAACATAGTTTTTGTATTTTAAAAAAACTTACATATAGTTAAAAATACATATTTTCTTTGCAGAAGCACAAAAGTAATTTAATTGTTAAGTTATGAGATGTATCATCTTGCATGCTGGAAGAGCTCCCTATCTTGATTTGGGAAGTGGTTACACAGGGTGTACTTACATACACTCATCAAACTGTAAACTAAAGATGTGTGTATGTTACTGTATACATGTTTTATGAAGTGGGAGAGGGAGAGGGATAGACTATCAATCAAATATTCAAAGCTTTTGCTTAGCAGAAAAAAAAAGGGAGAAAATCTTAACACTCAGAGCAATCAATAGCACTATAACTGCAATTCTATGGGAAAGGACTAAAATTTTTATGCCACTGAAGTAAATTAACCCATCAATCCACTAAAGAATGATTTAGACCATTAGGTTCTCTCTAAAAACCTAAAGTATTAAAATGAAATTTGTGGCTTTTGTTTGAAATCTATTCCTGCTCACAAAAACACAGTGGTTGCAAAAGTTAAAATCTGCAATATTGTATTGAACATACTTTATCTACCAGACTCTGTACTAGATACTTCAAATTACATTTTTCATGCATTTACTCATTCAATCAAATATTAGTTGTTATCAATATGTGCCAAAAGCCATGCTAGATACTTTGGAATGTATTGTATGATGTTGCAGGGAGGAGATTTTTCTCCCTGCTTATATTTTACTTAGTGCAACACTAAAACTCTTCTAGATCTAGCAGTTTGAGAAATTCAGGCATTGCTTTCAGGAAAACCTACAAAAGTTATCATTGAATTTAAACAGTTGACATATTGAGGATGGATATGTAATGTGGATACTATGTTCCATTTAGATAACATGCATTCAGATATTTGGGATTAAGAGGTATACATGCAGAAGAGGATATTATGCTGGATGTGTGTGTGTGTGTGTGACAGAGAGAGACAGACAGACAGACAGACAGACAGTCAGTCAGACAGTCAGACAGACAGACAGAATTTTGCTCTGTCACCCAGGCTAGGGTGCAGAGGTGCAAGCATGGCACACCACAGCCTCTAATTCCTGGGCTCAAGGGATCCTCCTGCCTCAGCCTTCCAAATAGCAGGGGCTACAGGCACGCACCATCATGCCTGGCTCCTCTGCTGGCTTTACCTACGCAAAACACTCTTCCAGCCCATAGATATCTAAGTAAAGAAAGAAATGCGGTACAATATGTCTAAATTAATAATTTACCTTTGCCATTTTCTCTGCCAACTGCAGGCGACCGTCGAGTTCCCTTCTGATCTGGGCAGCTTGTTCATCTGCATTATCCAGCTTAAAAATAAAACAGAAATTACACATACGTGATCACTTAATGACAGTGACCTACAGATTAACGCAAAGATTAAGTGACTCAAAATGTTTTATAAGTCTCTCAGCTACCTACTGAGAATACAGAAGTTGTTTAATTAGATTGGCAGTCCAGTTACATTTCTTGGGTACTTTTTCATTGTGGTTTAGTATTTATTATCTATAGCTCTAACCTCTTACAGGAGTTTCTGACTTATGTTTCCCGCTGCCTACTTACCGTAAGCTCAGAATGGAATCTTGATTTTCAGCTCCCTCCCCCAATCACTCATGAGTAATGCCACGTCATACATAGCACCACTCTCTACCCAGTTGTTCAAGCCCAAAATCTAGGTGTCATCTTCGACCTCTCTCTTTCCCTTACACATCCAGTCCACCTAGAGCCATGTAGAGGGAAACCTAAAACCACACGGCCCCTGTCCATTATGCAGGGATTAACCGGTACTTCCACATTCAGAATTCTCTAGGCTAGAAAATTGTTAACTTGGAACTTTAGGAGCCTGTGAATATTTTTAAGTTGTGAGTAAAATTTTGTATGGATTTGCATTTTTTTTCCCCTTTGGGGACTTGCCTGACTTTCATAGCTGACCCAAGATTCTCAAAAGAGTGGTTAACTCAAAAGAGGTAAAGGTAAAGGCTTCTCTTGGAAGCCTCTATTCCTTTATTCTAGGAGAGGCTTGTAAGACTTTTGAAACATAAACCATGGAAAATGGCCACCTCAGTCCTATACATCATAAATCCTATGTTTATAGATATTTTCCTATTAATAAATTCTTCATAAAGGAACATTAAGACATAAGCTCTTAACAATGCTGACCTGAATTGTCCATAATCACTTTATTAATAACTCTGTTTACATTTTTGTCTACATCTACTATATTGTAAACTCTGTTGCAGGCTCTTCAATAGCTATAAAAGTTGTGGCCTTCTAGGAGTTCATACTTTATATACAAAAATGGTAAAAAATAATCAATAAAACATAATACAGTTGTCACAAGTATGCTACTGATCCAAATACTGTGGATCTTAAGTGATGAGAAAAATTTTTTCTTGGTTGGTAATATCAGGATGTATGTGCAAAGATGGGAATATTAAAAATGCAGTAGGGAAAATGCTGACCTAACACAGAAGTCTATTAGTCTTGACTTACAAACCTCAAACCCTAGGCTCTCCTTGTCTAGTTTCTTTCCTGTTCCATGGGAGCTGCTGCTCTGGGAAAAAGGAAAAGATCTTGGAGGTCAGCAAATCTCCCTTTGCAGAAATCCCAGAGACACTGGAAGCCTGTGCTGGTGACCAACTATTTTACAGTTAAGAAAATGTTAAATACAGAATAAAAATAACATCACTAAGTTTCACCCAACAGGTCCTTTTTATGACTTGTGATATCATTCTTCTAATAACTACAAACATCAAACACTTGAATTCATTACATTTGCTCACATCTTAAAGAAAAGAAAAAGATATTTTAAAAAATGCTTTACACAGCACTGTTTAGCACCATTTCCTTCTCTGTTTAATCTATTTTCTGGAACCAGAATAAATGTCCTTATATTAATATTGTTGATCCCTAAAAAGGGAGACTAATAGCTGTGTTTTTCCATAATAATGGCTTTGTATATGGTAACTCTAGTTAGTCTTCTTTCTCCCACTGAAAAAAATCAATTAGTTTTTTCTCTGAGACCCTACTTCAGTGATGAGAAAAATCAGGTTGAGGTTTTCTTGGATGAACTGCATTGTTACTTTCTTGTAATATTTATCGTTATCCTTTAGTATAAAAATATAAGTAGACTAGGGTTTACACTGTTATACAAATTTAGTGTTTCCCTTGGGATTAATTCATAGTTGGTCCACTGTATTTGTATTGTCTGTGAATCACTAGAAATCATGATAAATAACTGGTACAAACCTAATGCTGATTCTGAAAAAACACTCTTCCTAACACTTTACTGTTTATCATAGAGTTTTCTAGCAGCCTACTGTTTGATTTGACAGTGACAAATATGCATGGATTTTGCAACATGACTTCAAAACACTGGTCAATAACTATTAAGTACTAGAAAATTAATTTACCTCATCAATAAGAGTTAATTCTTCACGATCACTTGAATCATAAATTGTTTATCATAAAAACAGAGCATAACTCCACCCAACTGATTCTGATTGCTTCTGCTATTGGCTCCCCACTCTCAGCCCCCAAACACACCGTGCTTGGTCCTTGGCTGTTCTTGGCTTCAGAGTGTCTACAGTCATTTCTCAATGCAGTGTTATAAGTCAGCACACAGTTCTTGCTTCTCTCCCAAGTTCCAGCACTGCACTTCCAGTTGAAGGCAAGGCCTTTCCTTTTAGGCATCTCAAAATCACCCCAATCTAAAACTGAACTGATCTTCCTTACCATCCATTGCTCAACATGGTTCCCCTGTTTCTACACACAACTCCCATTACCCTTGATCAGGCTAAAATCTCAGATGGGGAGGGAGAGGGAGAGAAGAAAGATAAGAAGAGATGGGGAGAGGAGGAAAGGGAAGGAGGGAACAATGAGGAAGGGAGGATGAAGAAAGACATGAAGAAGGGAGGGAGCAAATGAATAAGACTGAATGACTATGAATAAAAGAGAATGATGCCTAAATACCTCAGCTTAACATTCAGGCTCTCCCATAGTTTGCATTCATCTACTTTTCTACTCTCTTTGGCAATTGCATTATCTACACAAACTGATTTATTCATTATTCATAAACAGGTTACATTTTCCGAATCATGTATTTCTCCAGCCTGGGATTCTCTTTCCTACTTTTGTTGTCCAGATCAAGCTCCAAATCTTCTCGGAAGACTGTCTAGGTCAATTACTCAGCAACAAAACAGGTACCGTTTGATGGCTTATCCTTCATAGCTGTCTCATTGTTGAACTTCTCAGGTACCTTAAACTGTAATGTATGTTCTTTTTTTTTTTTTTTTTTTATTTCACCTTACCCTAATGATAAGAATAAAACAAACGCATCTCCACTGGTTGAATTCAAACAACCAGTCTCATTTTCAATGCAAACAGAAAGAATAATTCCACTTGTATTTGAAAGGTTCTTGGACCCTAACATCCCCTGTATGTTGACCCATCGTCAATGACCCCCCTCAAAAACAAAAACAAAAGTCCCCTTTTCCCAATCATTGAGAATCAGCTAACAACTACAAGGTAACTAATGTTCTTTCATGTAATTTCATACAACAAAAAGAACATAAGGAAATGAAGTTATTCCCAAACTCTCAAGAGCAACACATTCCTTGTATGCCATTACATATGAGAGAATCAGGTAGCATTCTGTCTGCTAGAGCAAAGCTTTTAAAGAACTCTCTTATATCTACATTCTAAATTATGCATACAAATCTGACTCAGAAATAGCAGTTCTGTCATGGATTACTGTAGAACAGTTCTAAGAGTCTTAAAAATGCATTTCCCAAACCACATTTTCCTTTGAAAACTTAAAATAGGGAAAAGATGAATGAGTTAATTAGATATAAAATTACCCTATGTGAACTGAACTAAACTATATTAAATAATGGATCAAAATGTTCAAAGGCAAGAACATAAGAAATTTAACCTCAAACATAAAAACCATGGGACTTCTATAGCCTAGAGAATGTGCATATACATTCTGTGTGTGTATACATACATATATATATATTTAAAATGGTAAATAAAAGTTTGCAAATTTTTTGCACATCATGAAATTTTCTTTAGCATTTCATTTAGTATTAGCATTTCATCTTCTGTACAAAAGTAATGAGTATTTTTAAGCATTATTTACTAACTATACTTATTTCAATAAAATAGTTGAATCTACATCTATACTAATAATGAAATAATGCTGAGATTAAAAGAGTTTACCATTAAATAAAATAGCAAAGACACCATCACTTTCCCAGAACATTCCCAGACCAGATTAACCTAGAAAAGTGCCTGACCAGAGTAGGTTTTATGTTTAAAAAACAAAACAAAAACAAATAAGCATCCTAGTTGGAGATGCACCATCATACCATGGTTAATATAAAAGCTTTATTAGTTAAACATTGACAATCCCCAGCTTCTGCTAGAATTCCTAAACTTTCATCTTGTCCCTTTCCAGGAAAGCAGGTGGTCTAGTGTTTTAACACCAAAGTTCCCAACTGTGGGAGCAGAGTAAAATTCAGAAGCACAGTACAGGTCATGGCACCAAGAGGATGTGAAAACGGACTCTTAGGTGATGTCCAGAAGCCTAAGAATTTCACAGGCAACAGAGAGGTCCAAACAGGTCTACAATCAAAAGATCTAGAGTATGGCAATGAGAAAAGCCAGGAAAGAGGACATGAAAGATTAATATGTAGTTTCTGGCCCACTTTTTTTTAAAAAATAGCACTGGTCCATGCCCACAGGTGAAGTGAGGAAGGGTATGGCCATCTACAATTCCTTTTTTACACCACAGAGAAGGATCTTCTCAGATCCCCAATTTGTTCCTTTTGTTTCTTTGTTTATACCTTAACATTGTTCTCTATCATAAGATAAATTCCAAGCCATCTAGCACGCAAGGCCCTTAATATTCAAGCCCTTTCCTAACTCTTTAGCCTCATCTCCTGTAACTCCAGCAACACACCCTACAACAGCTCCCTAACAGATTCCAAGCCATGTCACTCTTCTTGTGCCTCTTTTAGGAGAAATCTTATTAGAAATATTCTTATGTAGTTCCTGCACATGTGGGCCAACTTTAAGAAACAGTAATGCATAGTCAAATGAAGCAACACTAATAAAACCTAATTTAAGAATATATTAAAATGGCATTGACAATTATAGAAATTTACTTTTTAAAGAGGGAATTTACTCAATATTACCAAACATAGACTGAAATTCATTTTACAGAAATCTAATTCATCTAAATTATATTATATTTACCTGTAAAGAATTGATTATGTATATAAATACTATAGCCATATCAATAATCAAT